TCAGTAACTCCTTCAAGATGGCAGGGAGTGGAGGGCCAGGAAGAACAGCATGCACTGGGAAACTAGGAGGTGGTTCCTCCTTCCTCCTTCAGGTCTCTGACATCCCCATAGGCATCTTATGGCCACTGCTGGGTCCTACTTCTAGGCACATACCTACAAAACAGCAGCCATCTTTGCTGTGGCTGAAGCAGATGGGGATTCTGAGGGGGACTGCTCTTTTCTTGACACAAGGCAGCCACAGGGCACCTTTTTGCATATTAATGGCAGCAGATGAGCCCGCAGTTAAGGTACTTGTAACAGACTGGGGGTACATCCACCAGCCACACAGGCCTACATCCTCCTTCCCTTATCCTCAGGTCCCATACCCTTTCCCACTGTGGGCAGTGAAAGGGACAGGAACGTGCCTTGGGGGACTGGGTTGGTGGAAGTTAGGGCTGGCAAGAGAAAACTGGAAGAGAGCAGGGGATGTGACCAAGGACCAGTCGCAGAAAGGAGAACAAGAGCGTCCAGAGGAAGCCAAGGCCAAAACAGAAGGGAGCCAGTTCAGTCATGGACACCATGGCAGTGACATTTGCGGAGAGTAGATGCAGAAGGCGGAGTGGAGGCCCCTCCAACCTGTACTGGTCGAGACAGGCAGGGAGCAGAGAAAGGGTTAGGAGAGTCAACCCCAGAGAAAGAAGCTCAGAAGACAGGCCACAACCAGCAGGGGGAATGGCTGTCCTCTCTACTGGGGGTGCTGTGGCAGGGGTCAGGGTTCTGAAGGGCAGGGCAAGAAAGGGCAGGCCCGGCAGGAGGGCTGTGGCCCAGAAGCAGCTCAGCTCTTTGGTATGATGAAGATGTCTTTGGGGCCTCCTGCTCACTCCTCCACGCTGCGGGGCCCCTTGACCACTCGCCTCTGCTGCCAGTGCAGCCTGGCGCTTGAGCCCGTGTACTTTGGCCTCCAGGTGCCCGTGAGCTGGCTCAGCAAGGTGTAGAGGGGCAGCAAGACCCAGGTGGAAGGGTCAGGCACCAACCTCACCTGGACCACAAAGCCGACCAGGAAGAGGACAAACTTCAGGCCCCACAGGATCCGCCCCAGCAGGACCAAGACCAAGCTGAGGAGCAGGGACTGCAGCCAGTAGATGACCAGGGCCCCTGCTCCCCACAGCAGGAAGGTCTGGACCTGGCCAGTCGTGAGCTACGCCCAGGGTGATATGATTACCATTCAGCAGCTGTGCAGAGATCCCAGACAGAGCAAAGAAGGCCATAGAGAAGGCTGAAGAGATGGCCCACATCATCTGGGACAAAATCTCTGACACCAGGTGCATGGTCTCTGGCCCAATCCAGTCATCCAGGGTCTCCCGCACTGATCACCCTATCTGGGTCAAGAGATCAACTGAGGTTTCTCTCTTCTGCTGCACTGGTAGTGCAACGTCTCCATGGGACTGGGCTGACGCTGGAACATCAGGATGGTTTTGAACAGATGCTTGCCCCATGGTGAACTGCTGCTTAAGCCTGCGACTTCACTAAAATGCACCACCAAGCCTGCATCTCCATTCCGGGACATTGATTTATCTTCTAAAACTACAAGCTTAAATGAACTAAAGAATAAACACTTTAAAAATTATTGGCTGGGCACAGTGACTCATACCTATAATCCCAGCACTTTGGGAGGCTGAGGTGAGAGGATTGCCGGAGCCATGGGTTCGAGACCAGCTCGGGCAACTTGACGAGAGCTCATCTCTACAATAAATCAAAAAATTAACTGGGCATGGTGGCGCTTGCCTATAGTTCTAGCTACTTGGAAGGCTGAGGCGGAAGGATCACCTGGGCCCAGCAGGCCGAGGCTGCAGTGCCCATGAGTGTACACTGTGCCCCAGCCAGGGTGACAGAGACTCCAACTCAAAAAAAAAAAAAAATGTTAATCAAGCAAAGAATTCTCTTCTTGAAATTGGGCATTGCTTCTATTGGAATTAGCATTTTTTCTTTAGGAACCCAAATACCTTCTTTGGGAAGAAATACATTTAATTTAGTTTTTCCAAATGTATAAACTCTAATCTATCCTTCAAGAATCTTTTTCTTGTAACTTAGGAAAAATTTACTTTTAAAAATCAGATATAGCTGGGTGTGGTAGCATGTGCTACTTGGAAGGCTGAGGCGGAAGGATTGCCAGAGCCCAGCAGATTGAGACTGCGGTGGCCGGGAGCGGCCACTACACTCCAATCTGGGTGACAGAGAGAGACTCCAACTCAAAAAAAAAAAAATCAGATAATCATTTTAACCCTTAGGGAAGATAAATTTTATATTATTTTCTCTATTGAAATAACATTCATAACAGAGCCAGGTGCCTGTAATCTCAGTGCTTTGGGAGGCTGAAGCAGGAGGATCACTTGAGGCCAGGAGTTCAAGATCAGCCTGGGCAATCCCCATCTCTAAAAAATTTAAAAATTAGCCAGATGTGGTAGTGTGTGCCTGTAGTTCCCAGCTACTTGGGAGGCCGAGGTGGGAGGATTGCTTGAACCCAGGAGTTCGAGGCTGCAGTGGGCTGTGATTGTACTACTGCACTCTAGCCTGGGCAACAGAGTAAGACTTTGTCTTAAAAAAAAAAAAAAGAAAGAAAGAAAGAATGAAAGAAAGGTAGGAAGAAATAAATATTGCCCACGACAATCTTGGAGACTAAGACTTATAGTGAACATAAACTAGAAATCCCTTAAGGGTATCTATGATCCAAAAATGTAAGTCTAAGACAACCTCTTTAGAGCTATAGTCCCTTTCCAGACATTGCAGTTACCCATAGACTAACATAGATTCTTAGAGAACTAGGGTTCACTGATGAGAAATACATAATTATTTCTACAATGCTTTACTTAATTTCTCAGAGTTAGGTTTTGTTTTTTGTTGCATTCAGAACGTGGTAGAACACTGGTCCCCTCACTAGCTAGAATTTGTTTCCTACTCTTGGAATCTAGTCTGTGGCTCTCTAGGAATAAAGAGGCCCAGTAGTTGATGTTATAACACAGAATCAAAACACTCAGGCCACTTTCAGATTATGGATGTAATGTGTTCTCTCATGTCCAAATTACTTTCAGAAATCATTAAGGTAAAAAGACAATGAAAAGTGGCTCTGAAGACAACTCCTGAATAGACCAGTGATTCACTAACTTGAATTTTCCTTGAAACTGTAATAGTAAGCTGAAGGATCAGTGTTAAAAGACAATGTTATTAAACAGTCCTTGCTCAGAAGTCTCATCTGAGGTGGGCAAAGGTTTTGATGATGACAGAGCATTTCTTGAACATAGTCTTTTGCTTTTGGGCCTTAGATGCTTGACTATATGGACAAATAGTGGTTGTTTTTCTGCATTTTAAAGCTTTTTCAGAGATTTCTGAGCTTTATGCAATTAACTGCAATGGTACATTCATATCTAAAACATAACCTTCCTAAAATATAATGGGGAATTCTTTGACAATAGTTTATATTAGGGTTTTCCAGAATACAACATGATCAGCATTAAAAAAGGAATAGATATTGTCAGAGTATAATTGCACAATATAGTGGGAGTTGTATTGTTTTAGAAAATGTTTTATTTAGTTATATATGTATATGTATATTGGGTTGAGTGTACAATGTATTTCTAATTTTAGGTCTTGATCAAAAACACTTGAAAAACATTGATGCTTAGATAATACAGCCTTATTTGGTAGTAGAATTTTCCATCCTACTAGTAGGAGTAAGTAGTAGGAGTTTCTGTCCTGTACTTAGAAGATGTTACACATCAAGCATACTGAAATTATCATCGTTTTGAACATATTACCATATATTTAATTAGAATTGGTGATAATTATTATAGAATGGGGGGAAGTATGTTGTGTCAGTGTATAATATCTGTAACTCATTAGGGGAGAGCTTTTTCAAATGCACATACTACCTCAAACCTCATTAAGAATCCCTATCAACGGGAAGGATCCTGATGGGATGTTCGCTATTTGTCAAGTCTGTTAGGTTGGGGAAACAAAATGGAGACCTATGTGTTAGGCCATCACTGAAACAACTTTTTTTTTTAGTTAGAGTCTCACTCCGTCGCCCAGGCTGGAGTGCAGTGGCACGCTCATGGCCACCCCAGCATCGACCTGCTGGGTTCTGGCGATCCTGTCACCTCAGCCTTCCAAGTAGCTGGAACTACAGGCTCACGCTACCACGCCTGGCTAATTTTTTTATTTTTATTGTAGAGACAAGATCTCATCATGTTGCCCAGGCTGGTCTTGAAACTGCAGGCTCAGGCAATCCACTTGCCTCAGCCTCCTAAAAACTGGGATTACAGGCTTGAGCCACTCACTGTGCCCAGGCTGAAAGAACTTTTACAAAGCTATATCATTGGCCAACTCGGTGGCTCAGCCTGTAATCCCAGCACTTTGGGAGACCGAGGTGAGTGAATTGCCTGAGCCCGCGGGTTTGAGACCAGCCCAGGCAAGTTGGCGAGACCTTGTCTCTACAATGAATCAAAAACTAGCTGGGCGTGGTAGCGCACACTTATAGTTCAGGCGACTTGGAAGGCTGAGGCAGAAGGATCATTGGAGCCCAGAAGGTCGACACTTGGGTGGTCATGAGTGTGTCATGGCACTCCAGCCTGGGTGACAGAGTGAGACTCCAACTCAAAAAAAATAAAAGAAGCCGGGCTCAATGGCTCAGCCTGTAATCCCCGCGCCTTTGGGAGGCTGAGGTGAGTGAATTGCCTGAGCCTGCAGGTTCGAGACCCGCCTGGGCAGCGAGACCTCATCTCTACAATAAATCAAAATATCAGCCGGGTGTGGTAGCACATGCCTGTAATTCCAGCTACTCGGAAGGCTGAGGCGGAAGGATCGCCAGAGCCCAGCAGGTCGAGGCTGCGGTGGCCAGGAGCGGCCACTACACTCCGGTCTGGGCGACCGAGTGAGACTCCAACTCAAAAAATAAAAATAAAAATAATAAAAAGAAACATATCATTATTGTTAATTCTGATTTCTGGATTTTACCATTATAACAGGCAAAACTAGATGGTGGAAGACAGCAGTGGAGACCTGTCCTCATGGCTGTAACTGAGAAGGATTTGCTGCTCTATGACTGTATGCCATGGACAAGAGATGCCTGGGCATCGCCGTGTCATAGCTACCCTCTTGTTGCCACAAGGTAAGTAAGACCAAAGACAAAAAAGTAAAATATTCATCTAAATCTACTAAAGAATTTTTAAGTGAATTTCATTTACTTGGGTGACTAAAATAGCATTTAAATAATTGATGTAGTTGATGTAGATAGAAATTTTTCTTTTATAACCTTATTGGTCATTTTGCAGCTCTTAGCTTAGAATATATTGTTTCTGTCACTGGTATTTTTGTGTGCAATTTTTAAGTTGTTGAAACAACTTTCTAACTATTCCCATTGAAGGTTTGCTTAATCATAAAGTTAATAGTTTTGTTTTGGTTTGGTTTGGTTTTGTTGTTTTTTTTTTTACTTAATTGTCTGTGACTAGAAAACCACTGAAATTGTGGCAGCCTTTTCACTGAGTGATGAAATCACTTAAAACAAAGTGTTGTACTGTGGATAAACTATGCAACTCACCAAAATATTCCTCAACTTCTCTTTCTAATGTGCAAGCACATAATTTTGATTCTATAAAATAAGCATTAGTTTGACCTGAAGCTACAGGTTGTTTCCAGTATACCAGATGTGGGGGTTAAAAGAAAAAAAAAGAAATTTATTTTGGGGGCCAAGATGTCTTAAGGGATAATAACCATGAAACTAGAAAACATGTTCAAATTCAATTTTATTTGGACTTAAAGAATCAGGTGTTGATGTAACTCAAAAAACTACACATTAAAAAGGAAGGTCGGGCCTGGTGGCTCATGCCTATAATCCCAGCACTTTGGGAGGCCAAGGCAGGAGGATCACTTGAGGCCAGGAGTTTGAGACCAGCTGAGGCAACAAAGTGAGACTGTATCTCTGAAAAGAAAAAGAAAAAGAAAAAAATTACACAGAGAAGTATTTGGTAGTCAAAAGAGCTAAATAATGGAACTATTTGGTATGTCCCAGAGGGAACAGTGGGGAGTTTTCTACTTTGAGTAGACAATGATTCTTGTAAGGAAGAGTATTCTTTGCATTATAGAAAGACTTTCACTTTGTATAGGATTTCCTTCAACTTGCCAAGTTCTCTTACATATTTTTTTTAAATAAAAAATAAAATCTTCACATAGCCTTCCCAGAGTATTTCTGTAATTTAGAGCTGGAGCTCCTACATCATAGAATAGAAATAAAGGATTAGTTGAGCCTCATAATTAGGGCTTGTGCCTTCATTAATTCCTTTAGGACAGAAGAGTCCTGCAAAAAGACTGAATTTAACCATCAGTTTCTCTCTCTCTCTCTCTCTCTCTCTCTCTCTCCCTCCCTCCCTCCCTCCCTCCCTCCCTCTCTCTCTCTCTCTCTCTCTCTCTCTCTCTCTCTCTCTCTCTCTCTCTTTCTCTTTTGGTAAGTCAAAGTCCTACTCTCTTGCCCAGGCTAGATAGAGTGCAGTGGTGTGATCCTGGCTCACTGTAGTCTTAACGTTCCGGGCTCAAGAGATCCTCCCACCTCAGCCTCCCCAGTAGCTGAGACTGCAGGTGTACACCACCACACTCGGATAATTTTTTGTAGTTTTTGTAGACGAGATCTCATTATGTTGCCCAGACTCAAACGATTCTCTCACCTCAGCCTCCCAAAGTGTTGGGATTACAGGCATGAGCTACCGTGTCCAGCCCTTTTTTTTAGATAATAAAATATATAATACTCTTTATTGTAAATTTCTGATATCTGTTGTTGTTGTTGTTGTTATTGTTGTTTTTTTAATCCTCACTAAAATATAACCTTCTTGAAGTCAGGAACTGTGACTTAGTCATCTCAGCACTTCCCACAATGCTTTGCATATAGCAGGTCTTCAATAAATCTTAGTTCAATTCTTTACTTAAATTATAGTTTCTCTGTCACGATTACATTGGGAACTTGACAGGACTCTTACAAAAACATGTGACTATGTCTTAGTAGTTATAACTAGAGCAATTAAATGTATACTTTGCAAGATTTAGATCTTAGGAATATGACTGGAAATCTCTCAAGTTTAAATTTTGTGCAAGAAGCTCAAGTTCTGATCATAGAATACAAGGAGGGTAGCTTTATGCTTGGACTCTTGGACATTTAACCATGTGCCTCTTTCATGGGGCAGAAACTTACCCCATGCCTTAGAAATCACAGTTTCCTATAAACAATTAATTTCTGGTCATACACTAAAGTAGGCATGGACTACCAAAGCACTTGGGTATTAAAAAAGGGGGTGGGGGCTGGGCTCGGTGGCTCAGCCTGTAATCCCGCGCCTTTGGGAGGCTGAGGTGAGTGGATTGCCTGAGCCCGTGGGTTCGAGACCCGCCTGGGCAGCGAGACCTCATCTCTACAATAAATCAAAAACTCAGCCGGGTGTGGTAGCGCATGCCTGTAATTCTGGTTACTTGGAAAGCTGAGGCGGAAGGATCGCCAGAGCCCAGCAGGTAGAGGCTGCGGTGGCCGGGAGCAGCCACTGCACTCCAGTCTGGGCGACAGAGTGAGACTCCAACTCAAAAAAAAAAAGGGAATGGGGTGGTTGAGTATGTACTATCAGTATGATTTTAATTTGCAACTAGAGAAAAGATAGATAAGATTTAAGAACTAAAATTACAAAACTCTTTGAAGAAAATACAGGAGTTAGATCTTCATGACATTGGGTTAGGCAAAGACTTTCTTAGAGATGATACCATAAGCACAAGTGATAAGAGAAGAAATAGACTAGACTTAATCAAACTTAAAAACTTTTGTGCTTCAAATGTTGCCATCAAGAAAGTAAAAAGACAGTTCATAGAATGGAAGAAAATATTTGAAAAATCACATATTTGATCAGAGACTTATATTTAGGATTGCTTGAGCCCAGGGGTTCTAGACCAGCCTAGGCAATTTGGGGAGACCTTGTCTCTACAATAAATAAAAAAAATTAGCTGGGCATGGTGGTGCATACCTGTAGTTCCAGCTATTTGGAAGGCTGAGGTGGAAGGATTACCTGAGCCCAGTAGGTCAAGGTTGCAGTGGCTGTGAGTATGCCACTGCACTCCAGCCTGGGCAACAGAGTAAGACGCTAATTTAAATTTTAAAAAAAGATAAAATTACCCAATTAAAAAAAAAAAACAGATCAGGCTCGGTGGCTCAGCCTGTAATCCCAGTACTTTGGGAGGCCGCGGTAAGTAGATTACCTGAGCCCGCGGGTTCGAGACTCGCCTGGCAACTTGGCGAGACATCATCTCTACAATAAATCAAAAATTAGCCAGGCATGGTAGCGCACGCCTGTAGTTCCAGCTACTTGGAAGGCTGAGGTGGAAAGGATCGCTGGAGCCCAGCAGGTCGAGGCTGCAGTGACCGGGAGCAGCCACTGCACTCCAGTCTGGGTGACAGAGACTCCAACTCAAAAGAAAGAAAACAGGAAAAGGATCTGAATAGGCATTTGTCCAAAGAAGATATACAGTGGCCAATAAGCTCATGAAAAGATGCTCCACATTATTAGCTATTTGGAAAATGCAAATCAAAACCACAGTAAGATACCGTTTCCTACCCATGGGATGGCTGTTTAAGTAAAAACAGATAACAACAGGCGTGGACAAGGATGTAGGAAAAAACAGAAACTTCATACACTGCTGGTAGAAATATAAAATGATACAGTCACTGTGCAAGACAGTCTGGCAGTTTCTTTAAGGTAAAACATAGAGTCATCATATGACCCAGCAATTCTACCCCTAGTTTATATACCCAAGAGTAATGAAAACTTATGTCTGAGCCTAGAGGTTTAAGACCAGCCTGGGCAACTTGATGAGACTTCCTGTTTCGGGGCTGGGGGTGGG